TCAATTACTATGAGACCACAAACCCAACAACGACATTAACATGGTAGTTAAAGCTACAATCCTTCACATGTGTGTGTTCAACACTCAAGAAACAACAATCCAAATTTTCATTCGTATTTCAAAAATACTTTTCCCATTTTACAAAACAAGTTCCGTTTCCTTTTGTTTTCACAAAACCAACTCCGTCCGTTTTGTTGTCGCAAAACCAAATCCATGGATAATAAAGCCATAACTCATATTAGTCCATTATCTTCATTTCAAACCCATTCCACAACCATGGTTAATCTCTTAGGCATTAACACCTTCACCCAACTCACAATAATAATAGAGATTTCCAACATAGGTTAACTACCATCCATTTTAATTTATCAATCAAAATATAATTTAGGGCTTTTTCTTCTATCAACTACAACATGCTAATTTACCCTCCAATTAGCCCAAAACAACCATCAATGATAAAATAACTATTTTCAAACAACCAACCCTAGGTTCCTTCTCATGATTTCAAACAAATCCAACATGGATATAATTTTCATGTAATACAAAATTACCACATGTCTATCTATAGACGAAGTATTGAAAAAGAACAAGGAAATCCCTACCTCAAATGTAGAACCCAAGGAGAAGACTCGAAGTTGCTCCAAATCTCAAAATTTTTGGATCAAAACGAAGCCCTCGACGATCAACACACTATTTACAAAGGCTCAAGGTGAGGAAAACACTCCTACTAGATCAAACCCTAGAGAGAAGTTAGGTTTTAGAGTGAGGAGCTCTCAAAATCGGTTTTGGGAAAGTAAGAGAGAGAAAGGAAATGTAAAAAGTGATTTAAAATAGCCTAGCTGCCAACTGATATACGACTCTCCAGCTCGAGGGGAGAACACAACGCTCGAGCGTCAAGGACAAAAAACTAGGTACGCTCGAGCGCAGGAAGGCCCGCTCGAGCGCCAAGACACAAGAATAAAGTACATCCACTCGAGCGCGAAAACCAGTCCGCTCGAGCGTAGATTTCCCCATCCCAGAACTTACACCAAAAAGTACTACCCGCTCGAGCGCGACCGCTCGAGCGTAAAGAAATCCGCTCGAGCGTAGAAAACACATCTGCAGAAGTTTTGCGGAGGCACGAAATACTGGAAGTGTGTAAACCCCGCTCGAGCGCAAGAAGACCCGCTCGAGCGGATCATTCAAAAACTGGACAACAACAATGGGAGCTAAAACTCTACCAACCTGTAACAACCAAGCCCAACACATTCTAAAACTCAAACAAAAGAGTTTAAAGGTTGACAACACGATAGGTGCAACTACCAACTTCACGGAACCGCGTCTGGAAAACAATAGAACAGTAAAGGGATAACCGGGATCGCTATAATCTCATAATCCCAACAATTTAGATGAGTTATGTAAAAAATTAGTTTCACCGAATATCACTAGATATGTGAATAAATTACATCCTTTTTTTTAAGTAAATAATAATTGTGAGTTTAAATTTAAACATTTTATTTTATAAAACAAAAATGTGCCGTTTGGTAACACTTACGTTTTCAGTTTTCTATTTATATTTACAAAAATTTTAAAAACTCAAATAAAAACTTATTTGGTAAAATTTTTGATTTATAAATCAGTGGTCTCAGTTTATAAATTTGGCAAAAAAATATAAACTCAAAAAATGTGTTTCCGTTCTGAGTTTTGAGTTTTTTTTTTTTTTTTACCACCCAACACTAGTCACCACCCACCACCATTTTCCACCATCGTCTTCCGCCACCACCAGCCACCACCCACCACCACCACCACCACCTACCACCACCTACCACCGCCACACCACCCACTCACCTGCCACTCACCTGCCACCCACTCGCCACCACCCCCACCCCACCACACCTGCACCACCACTCACCACTCACTTGCCACCCCACCACACTCACCTGTCACCACTCGCCACCACCACCACCCCTCGCCACCGCCACCACCACCCACTACCACCCACCTGCCATCCACCCGCCACCCACCCATTGCCATCCACCGCCTGCCACCACCATCCGCCATCTACTTGCCACACACTCACCACCCACCCCTTGCCACCACCATCCACTACCCGCCAACCACCACCACCCACCACACTACCACACATCACCCAATTACCGACCGCCACCCACCATCACCACCCACCCGTCACCACCCACTACCACCCGCCATCCGCCACCCACCCGTCCCCGCCACCACCCACCACCGTTATCCACCCACCCACTACCAGCACCCGCCGCGTACCCGCCACCCGCCACCGTCACCCACCCACCTGCCATCACCACCCGCCACCTACCCGCCACCACCACCCACCCGCCACCACTCGCCACCACCACCAACTCGCTACCACCCACCACCGTCACCCACCCGCCACCACCACCTACCGCCACTTGCCATCCGCTACCCACCCACCACCCACCACCCACCGTCACCATTTTCCACCACCATCTTTCGCCGCCACTTGCCATTTCTCACTCTTTTTTATATTTTTAATTTTTTTAAAACATTTTGTCAATTACCAAATGCATTTGTAGTTTATGTTTTTTTAAAAATAAACAAAAAATAAAGAAAAACCAGTTTATAAATTTTTTGTAAATATAAACTGAAAACGTAAATGTTACCAAACAGACCCAAAATGATTTGTTTATATATTCATCGATATTCAATTAAACTAATTTTTTGCATAGATGGTATTCTGTGAAATTTACAAGATGAACGGTTTAGATTATCAATGTAAGCCTATAATAGAGCTTAAAAAGTAAAGTATGAACAAGTATAGAAGATAAGAGTATAGAAAGAAGTCATACCCAATCAACAGTTGACATCTATCATTAAAATTTTGCGGATTTTATTAGGGATCTCAAATATTTTCCTATAATTAAAGAATAATGATTCATTCTTTTAATTTTGTTCTCCCAATTCTATTCCTAATGATGTGGAACTAGGGAGGCTAAAGATTTGAGCGAGAATGAGTGTGAGACCGCTTTCACATGAGATCGAGGCATGTCAATAGAAGTGAAATTGAGGAACAAAATTAGGGATGTAACACCCCTCATAATTAAAATTATCTTACATAATTAAATTTGTACCTCTAAATTATAATAATAAAAAAGTATATGTGGGAGCCGAATAAATGAATTTCCTAGTCGACAAACAAGGCACATCAAAGCCCATCACTGATGGGCCAACTAAAGTCCATTGGGCTTAAGCAATTCGATGTTAAGTGGATCCAAATAGGTGCAAGCATGTGCCAAATACAAGATGCAGAGCTAATTAGCATTGGGACAGACTAGTGGAGTAAGGTCGGCATATTAGTCCACTATGTGGGCTCAAACTGTCCCATTTTAAAGGTGTTGTAGAAGGATGAGTATGGACATAGCAATAATTATAAGGGGTTGTCATTGAGACCCCCTCAATCACCAATCCCACCACCTCTCTCCCTCCTTTCACGCATACACATGTGGCGGATAGTGATTAGAGGAGAAGGAACAAAAAAAAAAAAAAAAATTAGCTAATCAAAAAAGAAAGGGAGTCAAAGGAGTGGAAGGAAAGGGAGTCTGGATCATTTTTCAATCACAAGTTACAAGATAAAATATTTAAAGAAAGATCTCTATAAAAAGAAGGTGATAGCAAGAAAAAAATGTATGCTTTAACTATTTAAACTCTAAAAGTATAAAAACTTTTTTTTTTTAATCCAAATACTAACTTATTCGTCAGAATACTAATTTCAACAATCCAACCGCAATATTTTATTATTTCAAGTATCAAAGTTAAAATCTTTTAAAGACTTATTTGAAATAAAAGAATATTATAAAATCACCCATCACAATATACTAAAGAGCAATGTTATAGACCACTAATTTGCCATTACTAATTCCACCATTAGTGAGGTGGCAATTGAAAAAAAAAAAAACAAGGCACAAACACACTGTGACAGTGGGTGGGATCTACTGTCACATCATTAGAGCCACCACTAATTAGTGATCTAAAACATTTTTTATATTAAAAGGTGTTTTAAAAAGACAGTTAAAAATTATTTTTTAACTTTTTTTAATTTTTTTTTGTAAAAAATAAAAGTGAGTTAAAAATTAAAAAATAATTTTTAACTTACTTAAGTAAGTTAAAAATTATTTTTTGGGAGTGAGTCAATAAAGTATTCCATACAAATCAATTTGGGAGTCATTTATTGGTAGGACATCTGTGATTGCTTCCACGACAGTGCACAAACGATAAATGCAAGCTAGATGTACAACTGCCTTGGTTGACTTCATTGTGTGCTTCGGTAATAAATGCCGTATTTTGAATTAGATTAAGGTCAAGTTTGACATTCTTTAAAAAATTTAAAAAGTCAAAAAGTAACTATTCTATTTAAGTCATATCATTTTATTGAAGTCACATCACCTCTCTAACACATCATTTCAAATCCAATTCAAATCCAACTCATATTTAATAAAAAGTCAAAAAATATACTTATTTAGTCTTCCCAAACTTGGCCTAAATCTGATTCCAAGATCAAACTTGCAACCAAAGCATATGTTTTTTCTGTAATGATTTTTAACTTCACAATAAATAACAGATGTTATTAATAAATTATCAAGTTAATTAATAATTTTTAATGATATTAAAAATATTTTTTAATTAATAATTTAAATGATTTTATTATTATATAGAAGAGTAATTATAAAATTTGTTTTTTAATTAATTTTATTAAATAAAAAATTCTAATAAAAAAATATTTATAATTTTTCAAATCATAAAAAATCATTTATATTTTAAATAAATCTTAAATGATATATTTATAACAGCATTGATAGAGACCCTTTCTAATCACCACCCAGACACACATCTGACGGGTGATAATTGAAAAAGAAGAAAAAAAAAAAAAACTGATCAATACAAAAGAAAAGGGTCAAGGGGTTTGAAATATTTTTCTATTTATAATTTCCCCGTTTGGTTAAGAAAGTGGATTACGTTAAACTTGTAAGGCACGCGGGGTTGTCTTCAAAGTTAGAGCCAGTGACACGTCAACTGGGTCCCACATCCAGACTAAGCAACTCCTCGACAGCTCTCGCGTGTCTTTAAACTCCACGTGTCACCCGACCACTACTCTCCCTCCCTCCCTCCGCCTTCCGTCGAACCAGTGTGTGCTCAACGACGAAGATCCGTACTCTCTCTCTCTCTCTCTCGAATCAGAGAGTATTTGATTCGGCACAGTGGACCCCGATCTTGGTGGCGGAATCGTCGATCACAGAACTGGCCCAGAGCAGCTCCGTCCTTCTCGCGTTTCAGTTCCATCTATTTTCGTCACCTTCTTTCTTCTTTTCTTTGTTTCCTTCACTCTTCCTCTCTCTCTCTCTCTCTCTATACAGAAATTTTAGATTCATCTTTGGTTTTCGCTGTATATGACAGATTGTAAAGTTTGGTTGATTGTTGTTGCTTATTTGGGTGATCGACTTGGTGTAGATATATCATCATCGCCATGACTGGTTCTGGCCAGTTTATCTCTGTTCAGCCTGATGAGCTCAAATTCCAATGTACGCTCAATTTTCCCTCTCTCTCTCTCTCTCTCTCTCTCTCTCTCTCTCATGCACACACACACTTTTTTTTAAAAAAAAATTTATATCTGAATTAGGTTTCATTTGGAAGTTAATTTGATTGATTTGAAATGGTGGGGGTCAATGGGTTTAAAGTGCATTCAATTATTGATAAAATTGATCACACAAAGCGGCTTTTGGATGCAAAAATTAGGGGACAGAGCTCCACCATGCGACCCACCACAATACAGCAAAAGTTGGTGTGAGCTGTGTTGTTATCATTTAGCCTAAGTTTGGATGACTGGAATTTTGAGGGCAAATGGGAATTTGATTCTTGGTCTCCAAGATTTCAGTGTTTAGTTGAAATGGGAAGAGAGGCAACAAAGGGCTTACCTTACCACCCAAAAATTGCATAGTCAATCATATGAAGGCCAAATATTTTACTGTAGCTTGGGTACTGCGGGTTTGTCCAGTCATTAATTTCAAGATCCGATATTAGTTGAGATGTGCATCTAATTATAAATAATAAAAAATCAGCATTTGGATCAGATTTGCCGATGGAAGTGATTTCTTATTTCAGCAGAAATTACATTCCCAAAAATCTCTAGTTTCTCATGAAAATCTCGCATTTTTTAAAGAATATTAGCCATTTAAAGTAAAAAATAATAATTATGCCTTCAATTTTAATTTTTTGTCGTTTTGGCATAGAAGATTCTTATCGAAACCAGACGCCTGAAAGGTATTCACACGGAAATTTTAGTACTGGTGATAAGATTCCTAAAATCAAACCAGACACCTGAATAGTATTCCCACAGAAATTTTTTATCATAAGATTCCCAATTCAATTCCCCTCATGATTTCTTTCATGCAAGCATAGAATTAAGGGAAATGGTTTGAGTAATGAGTTGCATTCGAGATATTCACGAACATGCATAACTATAAAAGCATGTGAATACTGTGAAATGGAACTATATTAGTTTCTCCTTGATTATATATACATATATATTGTTAAAGTATACAAAGAATACACTGTAAAGCACACACACACACCAGCAAGTATACAACGAATACACTGTAAAGCACACACACACACCAGCAATATGCTGCGAGTGCTTGGTTTAGACTTTGTTCCCTTGGAAATCAAGATTATTATTATTTTTTCCCGGGCTATTTTTTGTGTAGTTTGGTGATGTAGACTCAACCTAGAGGGAAGAGGCGACTAGAGTGTCCTCTTATGGGCAGCTGAGAGATGGGTAGAACCCCACATTGCTGGGGAGAGCGTCTGAATCTAGGCTAACATAGCTCTTCCTACTCTTGTGTAGCACACTATACATGTGTGCAGTAGAGGACAAATTTGTGAGGGCCAATGGTGGGCTCAAAGTGGACTATCCTATGGAAGTGGGGTCAGGGTATGACAAGTGGTACAAGAGCAAATAGGATTGATTTCTTCTATTTTAGCTGGAACATTGTTGTTCCATGGTTGTAATTAGATTTGAGTAATCTAATTTGTAAAACATTAGCTTCCTATGTTATGGTTGTTGTTGTAATGAACCTTTCTTGGTATGAGCCTAATATACTTGCCCAAGATTGTAGAGCCTGTTTAAATGGTCACAGTATTTACAACCACAAAACTAATTGGGTAAGGAGTTAGTAGTAGTTGGTGCCAAATATTCTCCGGTGTTCTTTGATACAATATAAATGAATTGAGTTCTCTCCCAAAGCATGAAATTCAATTCGCAAAAATGAATTCCCTCTGCCTGCGTGTTGGGTTGCATCCACATGGATGCATATACATATTAAAAATGGCTATTAATAGTTACACAAGTACTTTTTCTTCATTCTTGGACATTTATTACTTTGGTTTCATAGTTTTTCTGATCACATTGGTCTAGAAAGCACTCCTGGGCATCTAACCATATGTGTTCCCATGATCAGTTGAGCTGGAAAAACAAAGCTACAGTGATCTTAAAGTTACAAACAACACAGAACATCATGTTGCCTTCAAGGTCTTTTCTCTTAATAAATATGTTAAATCACTTCCTAGCAAATATATATTGTTAAAGCTTCTTTGGTATTCAGCTAATTATGTTATCTGTTTGTTTCCCTTGTTTCCTTGGCTAGGTCAAAACCACTTCACCAAAGAAATACTTTGTACGGCCAAACACTGGTGTTATACATCCATGGGACTCGTGTGTCATAAGAGGTGCTACTCTTTATTTTGTCATGATCTTTTGGTAGGGTATGACTGTTCTAGCAATGCTGTGGTTTTTAAATGCTCTAACTGATTGGCTATGGCATGAACCAAACAAGGAAAATAGTATGTTATTGATTAATACTTCTATATCTGTTTATTAAAAGTTCTATGACACAAATACTGTTGCTTAACAAATAGAACATACATAGTGATATCCTTATACTAGATAAAACTCTCCTGTTAGGCTCATACAACAATATTCTTCTTTCTCATATTAAAATGGTGCTAGATGGGCCTATGTTGACCTTATCAATGGGTCCAAAAAAATAAATAAATGAAATTTGGAAATCCTAGAAAATTTCAGGGTAAACTCAGCACGTGTCCAAATGTATAGGAGAAATGCCATGTCCGTCATGAACACTGTTTCTTTTAAGAAGTGTTCATGCTGCATGGTTGGCCAGAAGTTGGGTATCTGTTAGGTGATCTCCTGGATCAGGGTTTCAGTTTCTTATGCATATTATTTACTTTATTAGCTTTGAACAATTATACCTCAGTTGCTTGTGTTGGTATACAACTAGTAGTAACATCGTTCCAGTGTCCCGTTGTTTCTAAAGCTGGTTTCAAATCACTGCTGTTTCTGTAGTCACCCTTCAAGCTCAAACAGAATACCCTCCAGATATGCAATGCAAAGATAAATTTCTCCTACAAAGCACAATTGTGGCTTCAGATGCTGATGTCGATGAGCTTCCACAAGATACCGTGAGAATCTTTATTTGAAGAGCAGTGACTTCATTTTGTTGGCTTGATTACATCACTTTTGGAAATAATAAATAATGATATACTTTGTGTGAAAATAATGGGCATTGTTATACCCAGTTTAATAAAGACAGTGGAAGGACAATACAAGAATGCAAGCTTAGGGTTGTCTATCTCTCTCCTCAAGCAGCCCTTGGAAACCCAGATGATCGAAGTTTTGATAACAACTCTGTGAGTTCTGCTATGTTCTTTTGTTTTTGTTTGCTTGTTTTACAGATTTTGGTAGATTTTCTGTCTCTCCTTCTCATTTTTCAGTTGAGGAAAGAGCTATTTATTTGCATTCCTATTTAATTCTGTTTACCTATGTCAGCCTTTTGATAATGGCTGGCCCCCGGTAGTATGTGATGCACAATGTGCCAAAACGTGTTAAGTTAATTAACCATTTGGCATTTAATTTCTTCATATGCATGAAAATATATTGTCAAAATTTCTTGGCCCTAACTCTTTTTCTTTTTAAAAAAAAATTTAATTGCAGATGCGCAGCTCCTCAAGCTTTGATGATGTGAGTAAACATTCTTTCATTAGTGCATTAGTTCTATGATTGGTTTCATTTTCTTATCTGTCTTTCAGCTGCCTTAAAATTTAACTGTTTTGCTTTTTTGGGACAATGATATATACTCCAAAATGGTGTTAGCTTTGTTGCATTTGATATTAATGCAGAGTTTTGGTCTTTTTACCATTTATGGGTGGGCTGGTCAATGGACTGGATAAGATTTGTTTCAAAGATTCTTTGGTCATGTCAACTGCTCTGAAATCTATGAGTGACAAGTTGCCCAACAATTCTTCTTGCCTGTAGGCCTATATTAATGTCAACAACACTCCTTTCCTGTTAAGCTGTTCTCAGATCTTCTGGTTAGAAGTTAGAACTGGCCAGATAATTAATGCTTACTTGTACAAGCTAGTCATATATTTCTCTTTATCATGTTAGGAAGTGTATTCTTCAAGTGCCATTTTAAAGGCATTTGTAATTTTTCTCAAATTCTTGTTTGTCTCCTGTCTCACAAAACTGATATTATGTTAGGAACCTGTGCATAATGGTTGTTGAAATTATTTTGCTGATCTTTCATAGGAGAGAATACATCCTTGTTCAAGCAATTATCCTCGTAAGAATGGATAATGGTTTTAGATAATGAAATATGAAATGTGACACTCCGCTATGTAATTATGTAGTTCTGCTTCATTGCATATCTGCTGGTTTTTGGTCCTCCGTTTAATGATAATGTGAAAGCATATATTTAAGCTAGAATTAAATTTTCACCAGCTTTTAAGGATGATACGTGTCTTCTGTTTTTGTGTGTGAGTGTGCGTGAACTTTAATTGTTATTAATTTTATGCAGATTCCGGGTTTGCAACATCTGAAGGATGAAAGGGATACAGCTATGCGACAAACACGGCAACTGCAGCAGGAACTGGTTAGTAGTGCTCTATTGCTTTTGCCCCACTGATTTTTTATGATTTGATAAATTTTTTATGTATATCAACCTAAGCATATATACATGCATACATATATATATATATATATGAGTATACATCTGCTAAATTTGTTACATTATGACAATGTACTAGGTTTCCACCAGACATAGAGAACTAAACATATATACTACCTACCTGGAATAAGCCTCATCATAGTTTTAGAACTTTGGAAAGGCAATTCAGAATATGCTTATTTGACATGTTTAATTCCGACATAAAAATACATAGATTAAAGACTAAGCTCTTGACACACGCAAAGCATGTTTTAGTGACAATGTGTGTGGGTAACCACCATATGAAGACATGGAAGTTTTAGAAACTAGCTAGGATTCGTTTGGGAAATGGTTTAGCTTTTTGGCTTTTTTGGTTATTTTAGCTTGGGGCTAAAAGGCCTGGTTTGGGAAGGGCTTTAGGCTTTTTTGACTTTTTTGTGAGAGAAATAATGTAATTATTATGGGTTGGATGTAATGTTTTGTCTTATTGGTCTAAAAAACCTATTTTGTTTTTTATGGCTAAAATAGCCAAAAATGCCCCCAACTTTTGCTTGTCAAACGAAGCCTTTGAATTTTAAAATTGTGAATGATTGTGGAGGTTACCCAGACACTCACCCTTCAAACGATATGGAAGAACTTATTTTAATGATAAAAAAATAAGTTTTCTAGGACTTAAAAACATCTAAGCAATCATAGTCCAACAACTATAGAAGCCCCAGCAAACAACCAGCCTAGCAAAGAGTACCCATAATGAGAAAGAAATAAACAATAGAACAAAATCCAACAACCAACTCAACAAAGAACCCCCATAATAGGGATAAATAATCAATAGTTGCCTTTCGCAAAAATTGACCCCTTGACCTCCAGATACTGATAGAAGTGCATATGCATGGCCTAAGAAGCATAGACATGGACACCGATACAAACACGGGACATGATGACTTCAAAAAAAGATTGAGATATAGACACAACAATAATTTTTTTATATATATATATTTTCATTGGCTAATATATTACATTTATAAATAATCAAAATTAATAAAAACTAACACTAATTCAATATATATATAAACTTACTCTTAAGCTAACTTTATTGTTTGTCTTTTTATAGATGATCTATTAATTATTTAAATCTAAGTAAAAAAGTAATAAACATTCAATATCTAACACCCATCAAAAACGCTAAAGAAGAGGGGGTGGGGGAAATTAATTGGTGTGTCTCCAAAAAACAAAGTAATTAAATAAAGGAATGGCATGTCCTGGATGTGTCCCTACTGTGTCTGACCCCGATGTTATTTTGCACGAAGTGCCATAGAAAAGAAACCTGTTTGGATGATCAAAACAGGTCGATCAATCAAAACCTTTTCAATAATTAGCTTAGTTATTACAGATGCCGTGAGATTGATAAAATCTTGTGATTGGCTAGTGAGTATCAGAATTAAATGGTGTTTGTTCTTCACAAGCAAATGTTGAACCCAATATACATCTGCTTGTGACACAGAAAACTACTATGATTATATTTTCTAATCCTTTCTACAGGAAATGCTGAAGAGACGGAGTCGTCGGAAAAGTGACCCTGGCTTCTCCTTCACATTCGCGCTTTTCGTGGGACTCATTGGGCTCATGGTTGGCTTCCTTTTAAACCTTTCGTTGTCTTCGCCTTCAACAGAATGATTTCACTTGGCTTTAACAGTTTTAGGAGATGACTTTTATTGTATAATTTCACTTCCCTTCTGTGTTCCCTTTTCCCTTTGTAAATTGGGTCACTGCATAATTGCTGTTGATCAGTTGGTTTGAGTAATATACTTCATGCTTGTCAATATGGCACAGCTTTTTCTTTGATCTGGATTTTGTCATTGTTGAGTTGTATTTTTCTTTTTCTTTCTGCTACATATCTCATTTTTGGGGGACCTGTCTCACTTCTTTTGCTATGGCACTAATCACATTATTTGATTAGTCAGTGGCAGATATAAAGTAGGTGTATGGCCATGGCCCCCAAAATTTCACAAAATTATGATTAGCCCCGTGTAATTTTAAGTATTTACAAGACAAATTTGGATTATGTTTGATCTAATTTTTTTAAAAACAATTTTTTAATAAATTTTCGTTTCTCTTTAGTAAATTTTTTCATATTTTATTTTTTATTTTTTAAAGATACACTTAGGGGGTGTTTGGGAAGAAGGTTGAGCTAAAATAGCTCACTAAAAGACAAAATAAGTTAAAATAGCTAATAAGACAAAATGTCACATTCAATTTATAAATATTTTATTTTTTTTTCTCATAACCATCAAATCAATTACAAAAAAAAAAAAAAAACTATTTTAGCTAAACATGTGCCTATTTTAGCCTAAAAATTAAAAAGTTACTAAAAAAATCAAAAAGTCAAAAAATCTTTTTTCTCTCTATTTTTTGTATATCTTTTCATAAAAAATTAAAAAGTCATTCCAAATATATTGTTTTTTTTAACATCATATTTTAGTCAAAAAATTAAAAAGTTATTAAACAACCTTGTTTCTAAACGAGGGGTTCATAAATGTAATTAATAGTAAATTCATACAACAATTCTTGAGTTTAATGACACGCAATTCTTCTACTCAAGAATAAATAAGCTACTAAAGGTGATGATTTTATTATTCATACTTAACTGACAATTTTTGTTTTTGATAAGTAAATAACTTTGAATATACTTTCCAAAATTTAATGAGATGAGAATGTATAAATGAAGAAACTATATGGAAATTTTATATATGCTTAAAAGAATGGTTTGGGTCCTAATGTAAACATGATATATTTTTTAAATTCTGAAACACATTGATAGTGTAGATACTTAAAATTTTAAATGTCTTGATCACCATCTTATTAATCAATATAAATAAATTTTCTTGATTAATAAAAAATGGTCAAAATTTTTAAATATATGGAGATTCTACTAAAATTATGGATTTTAACCTATTTTTAATTATGAGTCAAAAAAAAATGAATATAGTTTGACAATTGGGTCCACTCCTAAGTGTGGGGCCCACGAAGATATTTTATCAAAATTGGGTGGGATAATTCAATTTTAAATTCAAATTTGAATGTAAATCATGTTCATAAAATAAGAAATAAATTGCTATTTTGGGTTTGTTAGGAAGTGGGTTGACTTTTTAGCTTTTTAACTTTCTAGCTATTTTAGCGTGAGGCAAAAAAGTCTTGTTTAGAAAGGGCTTTTCATTTTTTTTGATTTTTTTGACTTTTTTATGAGAGAAAAAATGTAATGATTATGGGTTGGATGTGATGTTTTGTCTTATTGAGCTAAAAAGTCTATTTTGTTTTTTTTGGGGGAACTTACTGATAAGTCCCATGTAACAAGTTCAAAACCCAATTAATCTCAAAACAAAATACTTGCACCAATTAGTCCAACACATTTTTAATTGTTACCAAAAAATCCTTTTTTTTTTTTTTAATTTATAGACACTGTTCACATTTTACTACCGTCGGACTTCCGTTTAACGGTCGCCGGAGACTCACCGGAATGCCTAGAATATTGCCGGGAAAAAAAAATTAAAAAACATGTTATGAAACTATAAAATTTTACAGTTCTAAAGAATGTTATAAAACTGCAAAATTTTACAGTTTTAAACCATGATTCATTCCAGCACAAAAAAAAAATTTGAAACTGTAAAATTTTACAGTTTTCACCGCCTGTAACTAAAACTCGAAAACTGCTTGTTCAGAATTCGAAAATTTTCTCCATTAGAACAGAAAAACAGAAGTGTATAGCAGAGAGAGAAAAAAAAAAAGAGATCGAAGGGGAAAGACAGATGTCTAACCAAATCTGTGTAGATCTACTCAGATCTGATGTAGATCTGAGTAGATCTATATCAGATCTAAGTAGATCCATTCATCTTCTTCGTCGGAAAATATATCATCTTCTTCGTCGGAGTTGATTTCAATGCTTGGTGGTTATCAATGAACCCCGATCAATGGAAAAAGATATGATCACCGGTGGTCCTCTTCCATGACAAACACAGTGACAGAAAAATGTAGAAAAAAAAACGAGAGAGGAAGGGAAGCAAAAAGCAGAGAGAGAGAGGAAAGGACTTTTGGGTGTAGTGAAAAAGTTATGGGATTAAATGGAGATCACATGTTTCCCATAGGACCTATGGGTAATTTCCCCTTTTTTTGTGACTATTTTAACCAAAAAAGCCCAAACCCTTTGTAGACACCCTATTTTTAACAACCCTTACAACTTGGACGCCATTGCATGCACACCCGATGATGAACGTATTTGATCGCCAAGTGCTCGAAACTCTCAGCGAAATGCTACAACTTTGAGCCTTTGAAACCTTGCATCCTTGTTGCCTCATTTTTTAACCATGCCTTGGTCTTTCAAGCCTGCAGCTTATGGTGGCCTGCCGACCATCCCTAGAGGCTATCGGCCACCAGTGTATTTTCTAGATATTTTATGGTAGTTGTGGCAGTTGTTCGTGCAGATGCATGCATCTTTCCCCACGTGTAGGGTTGGATCTCCCTGAGGAAATTTCATATTTTCTATATATAGGATGGTCCTTTCTCTTGTTTTAAGGTTAGAAAATTTTGAACTCACAAATTTTCCTCTCTCTCGCGCTCTCTCTCTTGCAAATTTGTGCACATTAGCCTACATACACTACACTTTTGCCTACACCTCCTTAATCAAAGTTGATCACCTTTAGGCTGAGGTTCCGTAAAGCCTTCTTGGAGCTCTTGAAGTTGGTTTTGGCTTGAATTGTTGCCTAGAATTTATCTTTGCTTCAAGAGGTATAATACTTGCCTTTTTACCTTGTTTTGCATACTTGTTTTTCTAACTTTTCCCACAGATTTTGTGTTGTTTTTGGGCTATAAAAAACTCTATTTTTGTGCGCTGAAATAGGTGATTTTAGGTTATTTAAGGTTAGGGGGTGGCTCACTCTTCTTTATTCCTTGTTTGTAAGGCCTTTCCACATTTGTTTCCCACTTTCAAACCATCTCTTTTGGGCTTTTGAACACTGAATTTCAAAGTATTTTCAGTGGTGAAAATTATGTTTTGAAGTCCAAATTTAGAGGGGTTAGCCTCCCCTCATTGTGTCTTTGTTTGCTAGCCTAGATAGCTTTATGTGTTAGCTTATTTTTTCTAGCCATTTGTGGCTTAATTGTAGCATGTTTTAGCCTCTGGTTTGGACTGTTTTAACTCTGTTTTAGGTTGGTTAAGTCATTTGAGTCTTGTATTGCATGCTTGTAGTGTAAGTGTCCTTACAAGCTTGGTGTTTTACGCCTTTAGACACCACTTATTTGAGTTAATTGCATGTTTTTAGTGCTTTTCTCACTTAATTTCAGCAAGCACAATCTCTACAACCCCCCTCCCCCTATTTCTTGACTTTTTGTTTGCTTTTAGGGTTGTTTCAATCTTAGTATTGTTTAAATTTGAGATTGAGGTCCATGCTTAATGGTTTAATCCCCTTTTGGAGGTTCATTATCAACGGCATGACATCTCTCTCTTGCCTAAACTACCCCTTGTTTGACACTTCCTTCTCTTTTAGAAGACTTAATACAACTTTTGGACTTAATTGGATTAAAGAATAGTTGGTAAATTAAAATGAGTAACTAAAACTTGGGACTAAAAGTGAGCAAGATAATAACTTGGTGTGTTCAATCGGACGTTAATTGAACACATTGGAGCTTGGACCATTTCATACTTGCTAGTGATGAAATGATCCAAGTCTCCAAGGTCAACTTCTTCCCTTGATCTTTCATAAAATGGAGGAGTTTTGTGTCTTGTTTTGCATTTATTAACCTTGTATACTTGGTTTCACAAGCTATTATGCAATGAAATTGCATCCATTGATGGTTTGTGAACCAAAGCTTGCTACTCCTTTGATTTTCCCATGAAAATGAGGGGTGAGTTGTGCAAACAAACTCTTGAAATATCCTGTATATGCTCTGTTTGTCCTCTGTTGCAGCAAGATGAACTTGTGCATCAGTGGCCAGCAGGCCACTTTCCATGGCCGACAGACCACCATCCATGGCTAGCAACCTTCAACCATGGCTGGCTGGTGGCCGGCAATCTTTACCAACGGCCGGCTAGCCACTGATGCAAAACACAACAGAGTGTTGGTAAGGCAGAACAGAGTGAACAACAGTGCTGGTGTTCAACTATGCAAACAGAGGCATTCGGAAGCAAAACGGTGGTCTTTTCGGACGGAAACCGAGCATGCGCATGCACATCCCTCGTTTCCCGAGGCGTGGTAGTTAATTGTTTAGTTTAATTATTAATTGCACTTGCATTGTAATTATTTAATTAGTTAACTAGAATAATGTTAATTTATTTCTTGTTGCAATAATTAGTTAAATTAGTTTAACTAGTTATTCATTTTGGTTTGTAATAATTAGCTTAATTAGCTTTAGCTTAAATTAGTTACTAGTTAACTTAGTTTATTCATTTGGACTCTCCTTCGTGAGGGCATCAATGTTGTAATAATGTATATGTCTTCTAACCCCACGTCTTTCTCCATTTTATTTATCAGCTTATGATGGTTAGATAGGGACATCACGTTTCAATTTAGCATATCACATGTTTGCGTACATTCATTTGTCCTACGTACACTGAGACTCGGTTCATCATTCAAACTTGTATTGTCGTTTATTACCTCATTGAATACGTGTTTAAAAGCATGCTATGATATTGTTGCAAATAACATACTAATAGTCGAGCCTATTAGTCACATTATCGCATGTGTTGCATTAGTCATATTGCATAAAGTTAAGAATCATGCATTTTTCTAACTCTCATGTTTATTTTGGTTTGGAGAACTAGGTGAGTTTTTAGTACTTTAGCATACTTGCAT